CCCCAAAACCCCAAAACCCCAAAACCCCAAAACCCCAAAACCCCTGGTCTTTTCCAATATATTGAAATTATCAAATTTTTGTAACTCAAAAATGAGTCCTTCTCATAATAGCCAGAGCAACTGCAGCACCTAGGATGATTAAGATTCCGAAAAATCCTGGAATTCTGAACCTTTTGAGTCTCTGGTGCTCCCTGACTTCTCTGTAAAGGATCAGTGTAATTCAGAATCCAGTAAGAAATCCTCCTAGATGTCCCCAGATATCTATAGCATTCTCGGATGAGAAAAAGCCAGCTAAAAGAATAAAGAAGAACATGACTCCTAAGTACACAGCATAGAAGATTCTGTGTTTGCCGAATTTATGCCATGATGCCATTAGCCAGATGAGCTGGAATGCTAGTATCCCCATTACAACAGTGCTTGAACCAACAGTAATCCCTCATTTTGCTGATAGAGCAGCTGAGACGAGGTTCCCTCCAAATCCAGAGAATAGGATTAGAACGATATAGTTAATTCTTCCAAAGAACTCTTCGGTTGAGTTTCCCAAAATCAACAGAATCATCATATTCAGAACCAAATGGATTAAATTAGTATGCAGTAGAATGGGATTCAAAAGTCTCTGAAAGTGCTGATGTCTCTGTATAACTGGGAGATAATTCCCTCCAAGCTTATACAATGTTCATGGCCATGTATATCTAACGTAAAATGCCCATTCAATTAGATAAACCAGCACTCAGAGCAGAACCAAACCAGTTGTGATTGATATAAGCTTGAAATTAGGAAAGACCAAGTTGAAGTACTTCTTAATTGTTGACTTTATGCTTTCATCATCCTTTGGAGTCTTCTGCGTCTCAAGATCTTCCCTTAGAGCCTTGTGTTGAGTATTTTTAGACTCCTCCTTGTCGATATTTATGCTTACATCTCTAAACACGTTATGCATGGTTTCTGAGAATAAATAAAAATTTAAATAAAAATTTTAACAAAGGGGTTTTGGGGTTTTGGGGTTTTGGGGTTTTGGGGTTTTGGGGTTTTGGGG